GGGGGGGGAATCACAAACAGCCAACAGTAACCAGGCAGATCTCAAAAGGAACCCCTGCAATCTACTTTAGCTCTCCCAGATCTTCATAAAGCTATTACACAATTGCACCTTTGAAATCACATTCAATTCCCATTCCAGCTAAAAGAGACTCAGTATGGCATCTGGCAATAATTCCAAGGTTAAGAATAAAAGAGGTTTATACACAAGTTGCTATTCAGTTCTCCCCAAAACAGCTACAAGCAAAAACCTGCATTTATAACCCTTGAAGACACAAACATTAACCCCATTCAGACTGAACTCTAAAGTTACAGTTTGCATGTGGCTGTTAATAAATTGAAGTCTCTCAAGACAAAGCAGAAATTTTCGGTATCAAGGTTCAAGTAACTTTAAGACATTGGAAGTGCTTGGCAGCCTGTTTTGTTCCAGATTGTTTTGTAATTGTAACAGCAGAGCCACCAACAACAGTGTCTTGCTGGAACACTGGGAAAGGTGGATGGAACATGCTTACAAAGGTTAGAGTGCGTCCTCACTAACAGAAGCAGTGTAGCCTGATACCAAATTCTGCTATCAGTCTAGACAGTCAAAAAACCTTTGTTCACCTCCTCCCACCTCACTCTGAAGCATCCCAGACTGGCTAGTACAACATTCCCTTGTAGCACAAAGAGATGAAATTACCCAGGGTTGTAGAAGATCTTCTTTGCAGCTCACCAGTCAGTTGTTTTTTGTGTGAAACCGGTGACCTCAGCGACTGAGCCCTGGTGGGATGCTGAGGACTGGACCAGCCACCACTCAATGCTTGTGGATCACTCTGTCCTGCCTCTGCTCTCTCCACTGGGGATGAAAGCCTGCCATCATCTGGAGTTGACAAAAAGCAAGAAACCAACTGTTCAGACATGATAAAGAAAACCAGTAGTGCATGCAAAACTAAGGGTAAAAAACTCTCACAAATAGCTCATTTGGATCATGATTATACATAAAAGTCATTAATTTTTAGTCTGAAAAGTACCATACAAAACATGGAAACAGGCCAGTATGCAGAACTTGTCTGTCAAGACTCCGGCTATTTCAGAAATATCCCTAATGTGAAAAGTGCCTATAAAAAAAAAAAAACACACCACACCACACACACACAAAAACCCAACCACAACCAAAAAAAAAACCCCACAAACCAGCAAGCATGAATTATTCTTGCTATATGGAATAGCTACACTTGATTATCAGCTTCTGCCCTGAAAAGTTTTCCAGTTATGTTAAAAGCCAGCACTGAGGTCACATTAAAGTTACTGCAGCCTTTAATAAAGCACCCTTTTCCGTCAGAGGATCAAGTATAGACAGGTCCTCATTGATTCCAGTAACATGCCCTTTTCATGTGCTGTTTCAAGGTTGTTTTCCCATTCTTTCAACACAATACTTTGCTGACTCCAGCTACATTTGTCAGAAACAAACAAGTGAAGCCAATATTGACCACATCTTATGTTACTTTCAATAAATTAATTACAGGTGATATTCTACTACGCAAATTAATAGCAGTCATACCAAGTAATTATTTTTCATCCTGCATAAGAAGAGTCTGAACAGATCAGTTTGCTTATGCAAAAAACTATCTTGGCCCTTTTGCCCTAGCCCAAACACTGCCGAAGTATGCTTAGCAGAGCTGGATAGGAAAAAAGACTAAACAAAAGCAGCTGACCAGTTTGCGATCTCCAGCAAAGAGATACACAGTTCTTGTACAAAACCAAGGTGCATTCATTCACCACGCTTTGCAGTGTATTTCTTTGAAACAAAAAAGAAAAACTCACATAGCTCTTTAACAGCTTGCCTACTAAGAATGTAAGTTTCATGATACACGTAGCACAAAGGCCAAAAATCAAGTAGTAGTTTTTAATATAGAAAACTTTCACAACACCAAACCTCTTGATGGGGAACACCTAAGCCATGCAAATTAAGGGTGGACTTCCTGTAAATGCACTGCCTTATTGCAGGTCAGCTGCCACCCAACTGAAGGTACAAGATGCACAGGAAGGTGAGGAGTGGAGGAAGTCTGGAGTAAGAACTGGCATTAGAAGGACAGGCACACTTTTTGCTCATATAGGCTGGCAGATGGTTACTCCTGCTTTTAGTCCCAAAAACTTCATACAGGCAAAGGAAATCCAGATGCCCAACTAAGAAGCTACACAATACTATCTGCTAACTGCCTTGTCTCTGACCTTCACGGGCAGCCACAGACTTCTAGCTGCAAGATGTTGGCTATCTTCTCCCACAGCTTTCACCCAAAAGCAAGATGCAACATCCCTCACAAAAGAACTGAGTCGCCATCCATTTGGCCAGCCATTTGATATGATGCGCTTATATTGAGAGGTATTTTTACAAGTTTACGTGGCAGCAGAGGGATCAATAAAACAGACAGCACGCACAATCCATGCACACACATTCTCCCAAGCACTTACCTTTGCTGAAACGGAAGAGATTTACAAAAGAGCTGTAGGCTGATTTAAAAGGAGGCTCATCCTGGTCAGGAGTCAGGGGTTTGAAGTGAGTGAGATGAGATGGACTACTAGGAGAATGAGGTAGATCACTGGTAGACTCCAGTGTCGGAGATCGTTTGTCATCTGCGGCCATTTCACGTGCCCTGGAAAGAGTTCAGCATCATACATTATACACAGGGTGGTGAAACAGAACATCTTCAGTTAGCTGAAGAGGAGGTGTCTCATTAGATGCCAGAGGGGAGACATTTACCCCACCTACCACAGAAATCTGCTATTAGCATAGGTCAAGAGTCACAGAGTTAGGAAGGAGCCCATGTCCCCTGTGTAGTCACAGACAAGAGATCAGCATCTTTGCAGAGAGCAATTCAAATCTCCTAGTTAAACACACAGAGCAATCAAAGTAGGCAAACAGCCACCACACTGCCTGACAACACAGTCCAGTTGCTGTTTTATGGGAACTTGAAGTTTTCAAATGGAGACTCTGCATGTATATCACCAAGAACTTTTAACTTGGGCTCGAAAGGAGCTGTCAATGCTGTGACTTCTGCAGCCCTTGTAACAAGAAAACTGAAAACAGGCATGCCTGAGCAAGCACAATACATACTCCTCCTTTCATCAGGTTAACTTCAAAATGAGAAACAGAATGAACTGCAAACAAAAGCAGGACTGAAAGATTAAGTTCAGTGGCACACTGCTTCCTTCCCCTCCACACTACAGTACAGGCCTTGTGCAAGTTACAAGGGAAGCAACCCAAACTGTGGTTTATTTGTTGTCATATCTAACACCTCCAAACTTGTTTGTTTTCAAGAGTAGCTATGTTAAGGAAAAACAAACAAAAAAAACCCAAACCACATTCTATATAAGGGAAGCCAAACTCGTTAAGCCTACTTGCTGTGTACCAAAGCCTTCATACGGCCAAGAGTCATACTTTCCCAAAGCCCATATAACCTCAATATAGATCTGATTTCTTCCATTCTGCCTCACTAAGCCTGCACTTCTAGCCTACTAGGCTAAGGTGCTTACTACCTTCATCTTTGTTTAAGCAAGACATAGTGAAATGTTTGACAGAGCAGGAACACAGGGAGCTGATGGAAGTGACAGCTGACTTCTACCCGTGCCAAGCATCAAAACCCTGTATGAGTCTACTTCCTGCTTAGTGGCTGATACATGCTCCTTTATGAAATACCAGTTTCCACAACTGCTCCCTAGAAACTACACGCATATTTTGCTGACTATAACATTTTCTTCCAAGTTCTAAGAAGCCACACTAAAAATCTATGCAGTGCAGAGAAAATCCACGTGGTTGCAAGTGACACTGGAAGTGCTAACAAGCTGTCTGCAGCTGATGTGGCAAGGTTTGACCACTCCTACAATGAATGCACAGAAGATGGCATCTGCAAGTCAATCATATCACTTCTCAGTGGGCTTTTGCTTGTTGGTCTGCATAGTAAGCACCTTTAGCTCAGAGTTTCTCCTGATATCCACATATCCTTAAGAAAGAAAACAGAGGAACCTTTCTTTCAAGAGAAACTTTGGTCAGGTTCTTTATGTAAGGTTGAGTCTTAGTCTGGAATGCTTCTGCATCTCTCTCCCCTGCAAGTCATAGTATTTTTTGCTGTTGTGCAGGTCAGCATTATTATTCAAACAACAGATGATTTGAACATGCTTAGACACCAGAGTTCATGGAAAATGCCTCCAAGAGCATATCTTCAGGTAAATTTGGAATAGTTTCTTCAACACTTAAGGCAGCTGGTAACTTGCTTTTTAAGTGTTGAATGTACTATAGGGCTGCACTCCCCCACACTCTACCACATTAAAAATGCTGTTATGAAGTCAACCAAAAGTTTTACAGGCAACTATGTTAATATCTCTCAGCAACTAGCTATAGCCTAACAAGACAAAAAAACCCCAAGGAAGTCTCTGAGCTTGCATACATCATATATGTGACTCTGGAAAAATTTTCCCTTTAGCTTCAAGGGAAAAAACAACACACATTAATTGCTTCTGTGACAGCAGTACTAGCCTAATTAAAACAGATTGAAAAGAAGAGCACTGTGCTCAGCATTAGCTCCAGAAACACCTCGATTTTCTGTGTTGCACAACACATTAGCTATGGAACGTTATCACCCATTCTTAAAATGCTTTAGTTCTACCACAAGAAGGAAAACACTCCGACCCCCCTCAAAGAAACAGGGAAATAGTCGCTTATTTGTATACTATGGGAAATCAGAAAGCAAAGCACACATATCAGTCAAAAAGCACAAAAACAGACTGTAAATATTCCTCAGGACCCCTACCAAACAGCCACGGGGGATTTATCTAAAGCCACTTTAGGCTGCAACATCTTCAGCAATCCATCAACTCATCACCGACAGAACAGAGTGCAAGTATGGGCGTGAGCCTCCATACACGTTCAGCATTTACATCCAAAACGGCTCTGTGACACCCTGCACCCCACAAAACTGACCACAACTGCTCAGTGCCAGAAGGGTCCAGGCGCTCCTTGTTTCTTGGATGCTATTCCCAAGCACCTGGCTAGCACACCCCACGTGTAAAAGATGAACAGCCGTAAGTTAAACATAACTGCATAACACACGCTTCACTATCCGCCTCTGCGGCGGAGCCACGCAGACCGCTTTGCTTTCCTGTCTGTGAAGGGGACACCCCCTCCTTCCCCCTTCCCCCCCCCCCCCCCCCCCGCCACAGCCGAAGGAGGCTGCCGCCCGCCTAGGATGGCGAACCCGGAAGATCACCTGCGACGGGACGAGAAGGAAGCAGCGAAAAGCTGCTCGCAGGCAGCGGCCACGCAGCGACCCCCGGGCCACCCTG